TCAGCCCTGCCCAGTCCTCCCATATTGGATTACAGAACACCAACACACTTTTTCAACCCCATGATAAGAGGGAGGTGTTCTCTCTTCCCAGGGTGGAGAAATGGGCATGGGATTTCAGTACAGTCATCCCAAGGTGGAAGTTGGGAGTACACTGGACCAACTAAGACCTCTTCTCATTTCCATAACAAAGGGCAGGGGTTCTGTACTCCTGTATGGGAGAACTAAGCAGGTTGATTATACTGTGACCCTGGGTGTATGATTGTGGGTCTCTTCTCAGGCTGGCAGAGTCCTGTGGAATGGATGCTGCTGCGTAGTGAGGGTGGAGGCTGGGGATGGGTTTATCCAGACCCGAGGCATACAGTGAAGATGTGAAGAGGTTTCCCGGCTGCCACAAACCTTGCCTGCACTAGTTAACAGGTAAAAACAGCCATAGCTTGATTCATCAAGGCCATACATCCAACGCATTTCGTCCCACGGGGTGAAACGCGTTTTGGGAGTGGCTTTGATTACTTGAGCTGAGGCTGCTTTTACCTGTTAACCACACAGCTGGGGAAAGTGTGCAGCAGCCAGGAAACCCATTCTCATCTTCACTGTAGGCTGATCATACCACTTGGGCATTCAGTTCAGTAGAGGCAGTGTGTGTTGTCATCTCAAACAGGAAGTCAATAGCTCACTGGATCTCTGGCAGATCAACAGGTATTTTTCTTGACTTTGCAGACCTTGTTATTCAGTGGGAGCCTTAAAATACGTTCAAGCTCTGCCATGTGCCCCTGTGGCCCATCCATAGGCATGCACTGGGGAGTGGTGTGGCACACTGGGTATTAGACTACGTATAGATCACTCCGGGCTCCCTGAGTGGTCTGGATGCCAAGTTATGAGCCAGCACCTTTAGGTGTCTGCTAGGTTCTTATGTTAGATAGACATGACAGGTGCACATTACCCCTTGCCTTCCTGGGAAGTCTTTATCATTGCCGGCCATTCTCTCTGGGGGATTAGCCAGTGGATCTCATGAAAAACAAGGGGATTTCAGCTGTTAATACCCCCCAAGCTGCCCTTATAAGAAGCGTCTAATCCCCTTGGCCTGATTGTTATTTCCAGCTCGGCTCTGGTCACCCGTCTCTGACCGACAGCCCCGTGACGCGACCTCTGTGACACGTCACCGCCATCAATTTTGCAGCATAGATTTCTGCCTGTGGGGAGACCTGGATCTCCGCACGGCTTCCTCACGTGGGTGCCACATCTGGCAGAGCTTTCACAGTATGAATTGTTCTAGGCTCCTGATGTGATCCTCCTGTGATCAGACGTCTAAAATAAGGACAGCCGTTATTTCCTCATGACAACCAGTTAGATGCAGTATGCTACCAGCATTTTCCAGTGAAGCTTGGGATCTGGGTGCTGTGAGACAGTAGAGTTTTACTTGGGGTATGTCGATCAATTAGAATCTTCGTGGACCAATGTAACTATGTATACAATATTTATACCTGGAATTCTTCTTTTTAGTGTTTGACTACATGGGTTCTATGTGATTTGGACGGAACAAAGCTATAGAGTCAGTATTTGTACAGTCGTGTGCATTCCAGCTTTGACGCTCTAGTATGTCCTAGAAAGAAGCTAAAACTGGAGGCACCTAGGGAAGGTGGTTAGCAAGTTTAACATATATCAATACAATAGACTGATATAAAGATTGTGAAAGAAAAGATTTTTTTTAATGAACAATAAACAAGATGGCTCAAAAAACACATGATTGGTCATGGTGGAAAATCCAATTCAATCTGTTTATGTCAAATTTTGTAGTATGACATCAAACAATGGAAACCAGGTACACCGGTTTCCTACCACACTCCAAAGACAGGCTGGTAGGTTAATGTCTAAATTGGCCCTAGTATGTGTATGTATGAATGAGAGGTAGGGACCTTAGATTGTACGCCACTTGAGGGTTAGGGACCTTAGATTGTACACCCCTTGAGGGTTAGGGACCTTAGATTGTATGCTACTTGAGGGTTAGGGACCTTAGATTGTACACTCCTTGAGGGTTAGGGACCTTAGATTGTACGCCCCTTGAGGGTTAGCGACCTTAGATTGTACGCCCCTTGAGGGTTAGGGCCCTTAGATTGTACACCCCTTGAGGGTTAGGGACCTTAGATTGTACACCCCTTGAGGGTTAGGGACCTTAGATTGTACGCCCCTTGAGGGTTAGGAACCTTAGATTGTACGCCCCTTGAGGGTTAGGGACCTTAGATTGTACGCCCCTTGAGGGTTAGGGACCTTAGATTGTACACCCCTTGAGGGTTGGGGACCTTAGATTGTACACCCCTTGAGGGTTGGGGACCTTAGATTGTACACTCCTTGAGGGTTAGGGACCTTAGATTGTACGCTCCTTGAGGGTTAGGGACCTTCGATTGTACGCCCCTTGAGGGTTAGGAACCTTAGATTGTACGCCCCTTGAGGGTTAGGGACCTTAGATTGTACGCCCCTTGAGGGTTAGGGACCTTAGATTGTACGCCCCTTGAGGGTTAGGGACCTTAGATTGTACACTCCTTGAGGGTTAGGGACCTTAGATTGTACACTCCTTGAGGGTTAGGGACCTTAGATTGTATGCTCCTTGAGGGTTAGGGACCTTAGATTGTACGCTCCTTGAGGGTTAGGGACTGATAGAATTGTACTACACACACTCACACACTCCGTGCAGGTAGTGCTGTGGTTGGAATTCGAACCGTTGACCCTAGTGCTGCTAAGCACTTAGCCACTGTCCTGTAATCCCCTTTCATCACCAGGCCATTTTGAAGTTTTCAATGCTATGATATTTTGACCGACAATTACTCGATCAAGCAACATTGTACCGTAAAAAAAAAAAGTAAAATGTAAAAAATTTAATTTCTGCGCGACAGGTAGCGCTTTCTTTTTTGTGATATTTAACCACCTCCCGTTTCCCTTCCTATTCACATCAGCTCACTCAGTAGTTCTCAATGGCTGCAAGAATGCAGCCATAGAGAAGGAGAAATGATTGCTTTTACAGCCTTTATGGGTGTAAAAGCAATCAGTGTAAAAAAAAAAAATCTTCATCACCCCCCACAAGTAGTACAGTGTCACCATGGTGACACTGTACTGCTAGGGTGACAGTATGTAAAAAAAAAATATTAATTAAATATTAAAAAAAAATTTAAAAATGTTTAAAAATAATTTTTGGTTATAAACTAATTTGGGTTATTTTTTTTTTTTTTTTTAATAAAAATAGAACGGAATAAATTTTGGCCAAGATTTATGATGAAAATATTATTTATTTGCAAAATTTTATAAGAAAAACACTTTTTTTTTTTCAAAATTTTTGGACATTTTAATTTACATAGCAAAAAAAATAAAAATCCCAGTGGTGAATAAATACCACCAAAATAAAGCTTTATCTGTCTCAAAAAAATACAAAAAAATTCATGTGGGTACAGTGTTGCATGACCGCGCAATTGTCATTCAAAGTGTGATCGCACTGAAAGCTGAAAATTGGCCTGGGCAGGAAGGGGGTAAAAGCATCCGGACTGGAAGTGGTTAACAGCCACCAATTTTTTCTCTTTACTATAAGAATGAAAAAAAGATTATTAATATTTTTATGCAGGATTTACATAGCGCCAACAGTTTACAAAGCACTTTACAATATAAGAGCAGACATTGCAATACAATTGGGATTAAACCTTTCTAAAAAAAAAAAAAAGTTTCCCTTCGTTTTTGTTAAATTTAAAAATGCCAGGACGGTACAGTCACCCCTTGAAATGACAGTGAGAGGATGGAGATGAAGGGCTTAATTTGCAGAAGTGCAGAATGGGGAAGTGAAGAGTTACTATAGATGTCACATGGTGATCAGATGTACAGGAGAACGGGTCCTGAAAAGGTAAAAAAAAAAAAAATCTTACAATCACAACCCCCCCTACTCCGAATCTGTTGCTGCCTTCAATCTGGAACTATTGAATGATCATTTATTTGTTGGTTCCCCAAGGAAAGAATTGATTCTAAAATGAAAACAGTGATACGGTTTACTTTTGTGATCGCTGTGGTTGGTCATCACAAGGTACAGAGCCACTTGGATCGGCTCTGTTACCTTGGCTTTGCTGTGATCCAGCGGATGATAGCTCAGATCACAACCATTAACAGGCCCATTGGCTGCCCGAAGGTTATTTCTGCAAGGTGGTTTATAAACGGTACTCCAGAAATAACTGTCCACCGCTTCGCCGTTTATTATTATTATTATACAGTATTTATAAAGCGCCAATAGTTCGCTCAGCGCTGTACATTACAAAAGGGGACAGAACATGTGACAGAACAATATGAATACAATGCAAAACATGAGGGGATTGAGGGCCCTGCTCTTTCGAGCTTACAATCTAGGAGGGAGGGGATGGTGGCACAGGAGGAGATAGCTGTGGGGGATGGGGTGGTAGGAAGAGTGGAGGAGATCGGCAAGTTAGCAGGGGGTGGGGTAGGCTTCCCTGAAGAGATGGGTTTTCAGGGTGCGCCTAAAGGAGAGGAGAGTAGGTGATAATCTGATGGGTTGGGGCAGGGAGTTCCAGAGGATGGGTGACACCCTGGAGAAGTCCTGGAGGCGGGCATGGGAGGAGGAGACCAGGGAACTAGAGAGAAGGAGGTCTTGTGAGGAGCGGAGTGTGCGTGTTGGGTGGTACTTGGATATTAGGTCGGTGATGTAGTTCGGGGCAGTATGGTGGACGGCTTTGTACGTCCAGTGTTAGGATTTTGAATTTGATCCGTTGCACAATCGGAAGCCAGTGGAGGGATTGGCGGAGATGGAGCGGTTGGAAAGGTGGATGAGTCTGGCAGCCGTATTCAGGATCGACTGAAGCGGGGATAGCCAGCGGCGAGGCAGGCCAGTTAATGTATGTAAGTGGTTAAAGCCTAGCAATGTAACTTTTGTATGCTCTGATAATATGGAAGGATGTTGCCGTTGCATTCATTCTTTATTTATGCTTCCTGTTTCCTTTTTTTTATTTATTTTACAGTTTTCTGGAAGAAGTCCAAACAGCCGGTTTTCACAGCCGCCATACATAACCCTTTCCAGGATCCAGAATTTCTTGAACTAGGCGATGGTGATGATGAAACCCGGCTCCTCACATCTGGCGTTGTCCATTCCTTTCTCTCCATCGGGGGGGGGGGGGGGGGTCCGCTTGTCCTGCTGTGTGCAAAAGAGATCCTCTTCAAAGATTCTCATCCATTAAGATTTTTTTTCTTTTTTTACAATGTTTAACCTTTAGTCATGTCCAGAGTTCTAATAGTCTGTCATACCGTGAGAAGAAGGGTAGAGTCAGTTGTTCCTTCACACTGTTCGAGAACACTAAGGTAGGGGTGCAAAAAAACCACTGCAAATCTAACAATGAGCATGGAGCTGAAAAGGCCATCCCATTGTGCTGGCCAAGATCTGAGAGGCATGTCTGTCACATAAACATGTACACTTAGCTAGGGTGGAGCATACATGTTTATGTGTGTCTGTGAGGAGGCGAGAGAATGGAAAGACACCTCATGTTTGCCGAGAGAACCAGTTGTCTGTATGACCTTGAAGAAATTCCTCTTTCATTTCCTTTCTTGGATGTTCCACGGGAAGGAAAATAAAAACGCTCCAAACTGAGGGAAACCCTCACTGACATTTGCCCCCGTTGGATGTTTTCCCTCTCTTTTTCAGTTCCAGTAACATCTGTAAAATTTGGGATTTCCAGCCAAATTCTGTCCTGGTGACAATGGTTCCAGGACATCTAGAGGGGTGGATCCTACTAATGGGGGACACAGTTTAAACCTGACAGGGGTTCTAATCCTTCTATACTACACAACTTACATTAGATCCAAACCTTAGCTGGTTGGCATTTAGTTTGCTGACGGCACAAATTTTCACCAATGCCTGCTGAATTGGCCGATACCCAAGATGTGAGTGGCCATGTCGGCACTGCCCAGTTTGACAAAATAACATTTTTTTTTTAGTCAATTTTTGGCCCCTTGCACGCTGACGGACCAATTGGGTCCCCCTGTAAGTTTTTCAGGCGGACTCGATTGGACCATCTGTAGCTCTATATGAAGCGGTGGGTGTCAACAGTTGTGTTCACTGACACCCGCCCCGCATCCCATCCATTCCTGTATGGTGAAAACAGATGGATGGTGATATGTTCCCCATCCATCTGGCGGATCGAATGACAGTTGGGTGGAAATGTACAAATGGTTCATCTCCATCCAACCGCCCCATAGAAAGCAGTGGGCTGTGTCTGCTCTGCAGCAGCAGAGCGGACACAGACCTGTCATTCACTTGCTCAGCGGGGATCGGCAGAGAAATCCATCATTCAGCAAGCAGAACCACTGACGGGTCTGCCCCTTTGTCAATGAAGCCAGGTGGAAAAATGTGGCCAAACCGTGACCAGGGCTGCTGTTAGAAACCACGGGGCCCCATACAGCCAACCTGATAGGGCCCCCTTCCCCAAGAAAAAAACAAAAACAGTTTACTATGCTTCAGTTATGAATGAACACAGTGAGCGATGGGTACTGATCACGCATTGTATTCATTCAGGAAAGGAAGGGGCTGGTAAACGTGGCATATTTACCAGACCCTTCTTCCAATCTTCATCCTGAAGGATCCTATTGCAGCTTGAAGTATATTGCAGTGCTGGTGGGAAAGAGTGGATGGAAGCCAGCAGCATTGCAAGGGTGAGGGGCTTAGGCAGCAGGGGAAATGTATTGTGCACAGGGAGGGTGACGGGTGTGGTGGGGAAATTGGGCAATTAGTGGAACTGATCCCCTGTATGGCTCTCTCTACTGCAGCTGAAAGCCAGCGGGAGAGGAGAAGAAGCCAGCTATCAGCTAGCTGCAGTTGCCCCCCCGCTGTGCTGATCACCCTCCCTGCCCACATCCTATTCACCCAGGGCCCCGTACAGGAGGACTGGTGGTACCCCCTTATCCATGGCCCTGACCGTGACTGCATGCAATCAGATGCAGACACTGTTCCGGTATTCAGCAGCTGCAGGATTAGTGGCTGTTCGCAAAAAAAAAAAAAAAAAAAAAAAACCTGCCAGGGAAGATTCCTTCATCCATGCTGTTTAGCATGAATGTAGAAATACATTAGTGTTCTCTTAATTAGCTTGCGAGCTGAATATGAGAAATCTCTATGTGTAGTGACGATGCAGGAGCACAGTCAGGAAACAAGGACAGAGTGTAGTCACCCCATACCAGGAAGTGCCAGAATGAGGACATGTGTGGCAGGATCACCAAAAGCTGGAGAAAATTGATTAAAAGGCATTTTTAAAATGACATTGACATCTTAAAGCTATATGAAATGTTAGGGATCGGGTATAGATCTGCTGTAAGAAAGCAGTTTGGGCTTTATATATACTCTCTTTTAGTATATTTGGTGAAGACTACAGATTTTCAAGTTCTACTTCATTCTCTGTGATTGGAAAAGTAAACTCTGGTCAGACTTCATGTAATGTAAATATAATAACTGGAGTGAAGCTATGTAAAGAAGAAGGAGCCTTGTGGGAGAAGCAGAGACACCACCATTACTGCAGTAGGTTTGACCTTCATTTCATTTTTTTTTCTTTTAACGTGATTGAAAGAGGGCATGCCATGTACATATCCTTGTGTATGGGACTACTACCAAAAAGCAGCAGATATTTCCTATTTATTTCCTTTGTAGTGTTCTCGGAGAATTGTGTTACAGTCTCAGCTGATATTACAGCTCTACTGAACAAACTGTTTCAAATTAAAAAAAAAACAATAAAAACGACTTCATTTAGACTTTGTTTCTGTATGAAGGATGTAGTAAAGGATAACTGTTTTTTTTTAACCAGTTCCAGTCTGGGTCAATTCCAGTTTTTCTCCCCTACATGTAAAAAACGTAATTTCTCTTACGTTCATTGACAAACACAGCGTCTTCTATTCTTGACCATGGGGTTATTTTGCCACCTACAGGAGTAGGACACTAGGCGAGAAAAAAGAAACTCGGCACCGCCTATGGGCAGTCCTGGCTGCTCCAAACCACCTCTCTGCATAGACAATCCAATTAGGGAGATTCCCTTGGCCTTTTTAGTGGCTATCACATCTGCTTGCAGGGTTTCGGAGTTGGTGGCCTTGTCCTGCAGGTCTCCGTATTTGGTTATTCACAAGGACAAGGTGGTTCTTCGTCTGTGCCATTCCTTTCTCCCGAAAGTGGTCTCTGCTTTTCATTTAAACAAGGACATCGTCCTACCTTCCATATGCCCTCATCCAGCGCATCCTAAGGAATTTGCTCTGCACTCCCTGGATGTGGTTCAGGCAGTTTGGGTGTATTTGTTCATTACTTTCGGAGGTCCTTTCGGGGGTCGGATTCTTTTTTTATGATCAAGGACGGGCTAGAAGAAAGCGAGGAAAAGATGATGGCTCCAATGAGGGACCATGCAGGCATCAGACCACTGGGGGAGGGGGGCTTGAGTTTCTACAGTATCTCACAGTACATCCCTCACATTTTTGTAATTATTTTATTTCTTCTCCCTTTGGAGACTGGGCCGCAGGGCAGTATTCCAATATAACGAACCCAAACACACCTCCAAGACCACCACTGCCTTGCTAAGGAAGCTGAGGGTAAAGGTGATGGACTGGCCTAGCATGTCTCCAGACCTAAACCCTATTGAGCATCTGTAGGGCATCCTCAAACGGAAGGTGGAGGAGCGCAAGGTCTCTAATATCCACCAGCTCTGTGATGTCATCATGGAGGAGTGGAAGAGGACCCTAGTGGCACCTGTGAAGCTCTGGTGACCTCCATGCCCAAGAGCGGTAAGGCAGTGCTGGAAAATAATGGCGGCCACACAAAATATTGACACTTTGGGCCCAATTTGGACCTTGTCACTTAGGGGTGGACTCGCTTTTGTTGCCAGCGGTTTAGACATTAATAGCTGTGTGTTGAGTTATTTTGAGGGGACAGCAAATTTACGTTATACAAGCTGTACACTGACTACGTCACATTGTAGCAAAGCGTCATTTCTTCAGTGTTGTAACCTCAATCAAATATTTACAGAAATGTGAGGGGAGGACTCACTTCTGGGAGATACTGTATTTTTTTTTTTACAGTACATTTAAATTTGTGTAGCCACAACCTCTAAAACTGCGGAGCTGCAAAGTACAATATGTTGTGCTTGAATTTAGGTAGACTTTTATGAAGGTTTCACTCCTTTGTGTTGCAGTAATGCCATGTTGGTGTTTTGTGGTGCCAGTAACATTCTGACCACTGACAGGTAATGCGAATACCATTGATAATCCCATGACAATGGCACTTGAAAGTGGGTGAGGATATGTTAGGCAGCAGGTGAACATGTTGTCCCTGAAGTTGATGTGTTGCAGAAAAAAAAAATGGGCAAGTGTAAGGATTTGAGCAACTATGACAAGGGCCAAATTGTGGCTGGACTGGGTCAGAGCAACTCCAAAACTGCAGCTCTTGTGGGATGTTCCCGATCTGCAGTGGTCAGGACTGACCAAAAGTGGTCCAAGGAAGGAGAACCAGTGACAGGGTTATGGGTAGCCAAGGCTTGATACATGTGGGGAGTAAAGGCTTGCCTGTGTAGTCTGATTCTATTGAAGAGCTACTGGAGCTCAAATTGCTGGCAAAGTTAATTCTGGTTCCAATAGAAAGGTGTCCGAACACACAGAGCATTGCAGTTTGTTGTGTATGGGGCTGTGTAGCCACAGACTGGTCAGCATGCCCATGCTGATCTGTGTTCATAGCCAACAGCACCTACAATGGGCACATGAGCATCATAAATGGGCCCAGGAGCAATGGAAGAAGCTGATCTGGCCTGATGAATTCAAGAATGGTTTGAGGAACACAACAATGAGTTTACGATGTTGACTTGGTCCCCAAATTCTCTGGATCTTAATCCAATCAAGCATCTGTGGGATGTGCTGGAAAAACAAGTACAATCCATGGAGGCCCCACCTGGCAACTTACTGGACTTAAAGGACCTGCTACTGATGGCTTGGCGACCGATACCACAGCATATCTTCAGAGGTCCAGTAGAGTCCATGCCTCCACAGGTGATTTTAAT